GTTTTACAAATGGTGAGATGGGTTTAAGTCATGCTAGCATGAACAAAACTTTCATGTTATTTCAGAAAAACAATAACACTAAAAAATTATCTCCTTCTTACCCAAATTCACTAGAAGGTTTCTAGAATTATTATATTAGGAATTTTAATGCTTACATTCATATCTATTTATTTTAGTATTCTTTATTGGATATGTTGCTCATGAATTTATCTAATCATTCTTCTTTTGGACTTGGTAATACTGTTCTTATTCACAACCTTCTGAGACAGTTAATTCACTACCTGCTATGTCACATTCTTTCCTCTGCCTTATGTAATTCCCTAATTTCACAGATTTTCCCGAGCTCTAGTATTACAGGATTCAGTGAATAGCAATTCTGTGTTTGCCTTTCCCACTACCCTCAAGATTTTGTAAGATTCCCTCTTAATTCCCTCTTAGTTACCACCTCTCCTTGAAAGGAGAGCTCTATCCTCTCACTCATTTTGGTTCTTCTTCTCTGTTAATCAACCTCAGCTATGTCCTACTCAGGATGCAGAGACTAGAGCTCAATGAAGCATTTAAGATGTGATTACTCCAAGGCTTTAAATAGTGGCAAAAAGTTGAAAGTCCCTCTGTTATTTTCACAATGTTTTTCCTGATGATGCCCAACATTTTCTTGGCTTTGTTTTTGGCTGCTGCTGCAGCCTGAGTTGATGAATTCAGAGGCTGTCTGTGATGACTCCAAGATCTATCTGTCACCTCTGTGTTTTATCAGTAGGTAAGAGTGGTGGCTTTTCCTTAATTAATGAGATATCAAAATACTTCTAAAATATTAGTAAGTAAACAAGAAATGTATTTTACAGAATATAATTAGTTTTTCTGTCACAGAATCACAGAATCAATTAGGTTGGCATAGACCAGCCTATAATCGAACACCACCATATCAACTAGAACATGGTACTAAGTGTCACATCCAGTCTTTCCTTAACACCTTCAGGGATGGTGACTCCACCACCTCCCTGCACAGTCCATTCAATGTCTAATCACCCTTTTTGTGAGGAAATTCTTCCTAATGTCCAACTTAAACCTCCTCTGGAGCAGCTTGAGGCTATGTCCTCTTGTTCTGTCACTAGTTTCCTGGGAGAAGAGACTGACCCCAACCTTGCTACAGTTCTTTTTGGGTAGTTGTAAAGAGTGATAAGGTCACCACTGAGCCTCATTTTCTCCAGGCTAAACAACTCCAGCTTCCTCAGCCACTCCCCATACAGCTTATGCTCCAGATCTCTCACCAGCTTCGCTGCCCTTCTCTGCACATGCTCCGGGACCTCAGTGCCCTTCCTAAACTGAGGGGCCCAGAAATGGACACAATACTTGAGGTGTCGAGTGTAGGGGGAGAATCATTTCTCTAGTTCTGCTGCCACACTATTCTTGATACAGCCCAGGATGCCACTGGCCTTCTGGTCCACCTGGACACTCTACTGGCTCATGTTCAGCCTTTTTCTCTACATGGCACTGTAAGGCATAGAAAATATGTTCTCTTAGTTTTGGTATTACATATTAGTATGTAGTTGTTAGTGTTTAATTTCCTAGATTTTGGCAGGAAACTACTGCTTCTGCAGTGTACCTAATGATACCTTCTGTAGAAGACAGAATGAAAACTTAGTTTTCAGAATAATATGCATGGAGAACTCAAAAATTCTTCTGGGAGAGAAGGGCACCTAATACAGAATTACTGAAAATATATCATTTGCCCCCTGCCACTCTACCTGAGTATGCACAGTAGAATGGGAAAGAGCAGTGAGTTAAAGTCAGACATGACGATGAAATAACAATTTTGGAAGCATTTCTGGATCTCTGCAGGTGACCATATCTGTCATCTGTAAAGACTGTGGCAACTCTGGGAGAAATAATTTTTATGGAAATAAACTGAATTAAGTGACTTGAACACAAGAAAAACCACTATGTGGCCAAACACACTTTATAAACAAGTGATGACCCTTCATTGGCAGTTGCAGGAAACACCTGGCTGACCCGGAGTTGAGTCATCTATATTGAAAACAGATAATAGATGGAAATGAGGTTATTCCAATGATAGTTGTTTGTAAATGTGTAAGCACTGAAGTATGCATTTACTAGCTTGATGGTATGCTTGAGTATTTAGAGCTGTAAATCAGACCATGAGGTTGTTCCAGGGCTTGGAAAAAACAGCCGTGGTGGAATGATACTAGAAGCATCACAATCAGATCTGATTTTGCAAGTTATTTCCTTAAGTGTATGCAGTATTACGTACATGCATACCTCAAGTCAGGAGTAAGGAATGCATTCATAGGTCTTTACTGACCAGGACCATAAATTAGTATATGAGGATTACAAGAAATGTCTGAAGTTGAGCCAGCCTTTGGCAAAGCTTGCAACAATGGCTTTCAGTCAAAACCCCATATATTTTCCTCATTTGAAAGAACTCCATAATGCCTTAGTCTTGTTCCAGGCTTCTCCAGCTCTCTGATCAACTTGGTTCTTCTCTGGACTAGTTCCAACAAGTCCATGTCTTTCTTGTGTTGGAAACTGCAGAGCTGGAAGCAGTACTCTAGGTAACCCACCAAAGTAGAGCAGAGGGAAAGAATCACTGTCTCAACCTGCTGGCCATGGTCCTTTTGATACAGCCTAGGACACAGTTGGCCTTCTGGGGTGCAAGTGCACACTGCAAGGTCATGTTAAACTTTTCATCCACCAACAACCCCAAGTCTTTCTCCTCAGGACTGCTCTAAGTCCGTCTCCACCCAGCCTGTATTTGTGCTTGGGATTGCTCTGAGACAGGTGCAGGGTCTTGCACTTGGTCTTGTTGACTTTCTTTACACGAGCCCACCTTTGAAGTCTGTCAAGGTCCCTCTTGATGTCATTCCTTCCCTCCAGTGTTGTCGACTGCACCACGCAGTTTGAGGTCATCTGCAAACTTGTTGTGGATGCACTCAATCCCACTGTCCATGGAGCTGACTAAGATACTAAGTGTCCTTCCTAATAGTAACTTGACAGCAGTGGAAATTTTCTGCAATTTTTTAGATCTGGTTTTTATATTACTTTTTTTCATGCTGAACAACTTGCATAACCTGTGATTTAGCTGGAGTGAATGGATAATACATTTTAATTAGTTTCATGCAATTGACAGAAATGCATACAGTGACAATTTAGATGTAAAGAGTATATATTTTTATTGTAACAAAGCTAGCTTTGGAGTTTGTTTCTTTTAGAAATTATGATATTTTTATATTTAAAACAGGCTTAAGCAAGAAACTAGTATAAAACCTGTATTTATTCCTGATAACTGAGACTATTATCGATGCAGGAATTTTATGATGACATTGAGGACCTTAGAACCTGGTCAACAACGAACTGTTTGCTTAGAAATGCCACAAGAAGATCTGTTGACCTCATAGCTTGGCTACCAAGCCATGCTCCGAAATCTTGGGATGCCTTTCATAGGTGGCTTTTTTTTGGCGCTGCTTAAAAGCTGAACACACTTTGGCCTCAAGCTAATGGTCACTCTGGAGAACGACATCCCAATTTTTCAACCTGGAAAGACTTACCAAAAAGTTTTCGGACAGGGACTGCTCAATTGCCCAAGCTTTGTATGGTGTTTGCATCAGTATACTGAGCCTTTTCCAGGACACTGTGATTGCAGAGTAAGAATTTTTATTGCATATCACTGAGGCCTTTGGTTCACCCTGATGTAGATACTTTCTCTAGGATCTACCTGTACCAAATTATGGAATTGAATTTGTGAGCTGTTACTGGACACTGATTACAGGGAAAAAAAGTATGTTGCAAAATAAAAAAAAAAAGGTTTGAAGTACAAGGTTCCTGTAGAACTTGCAATGCAGTCAGAGCAATGAGAACAAATTGCTTTTCTCAGTGACAACTGTATTGCCCTTGTTGCATTTAGTAATAATCCAAGGCAAGGAGGAAAATTTCTCTTGCCCTTCAGATAATACTTCCAGGCTTGCTCTTGGTGCAGGAGCTCATGGTACACACAGAACCAGGTAATTTGGCAAAAATATTCTGACACCAGTGTTATTCATAAAGCACATTTTATTGGCTACAGTGTAGCCAACTCTAGGTTGGAGAGGACTGGCAGCATTAAGGAACATCCTGAAGGCCTGCAGAAGCCTCTGGGTCTGATAGCACCCTCTAGATGGTTGACTTTGTCTACTTAAAGCAATATTTAAATAGTTTATTTTCTCAGTGGGGTCAAGCTGCTGAGTAGTGTGGCTGTGACCATTTAGGTGGCTGGGAAAGATGCTGCGAGTGAGTCACGGGGCTGTGAGTTGGTCCATCTCTGGGAGACTCCTCTCCAACAGAGAAAGCCGAAGAGAAAGTTGTGACCTTGCAGCTGTGTCACTCCACTTGCTATTAGAAGTAAAGCTGCTTTGTGGTATAAGGCAGAGAGCAGGAGCCTTTTTTCTTCTCCCCAGTTCTTTGTAGGGAGAGAGGAATGGGAGAGGTGACCTCTAGGCAGGCCACTCATGCCTACTGCTCTGCAGGTCTCTAGGAGTTACTTCTTCCTCAAAACTTCATCTGGGATTCTTTGCAGATTTAAAAAAAAAAAGAAAAGAAGGGGAAAAAATTCTCCACACTGTTATTAGGGTGCTATTTTGTCTACAGTAGGAAACAGATTTTCTTGTGAGAACCTGTATATAATGAGAATGGGGATGCCCAAACCAGCTCACATTACCATAGTTTTTTCACGTCACTAATGCACATCATAAAAGCTATACATTTTAATTAAAGCAATCTCCATGACATCTGTTAGTGGTGTTTTGTTATTTTTACTCCCATTATTTCATTGGTATTGAATAAAAGTCTAATTACATCTATTTTTATCTTGTGATTGTGCTTTGCCTCTTTTTCCTGTAATTTAAAATAGCAAGAGAGAAGTCCAGTTGTACAGCTGGTTCCACACTGATATATTAAATCTGTTACAAAAAGATGCAACATTGTCTCCTAATTTTTAAATTATATTTTAGATACCTCTTATATCTACAAATAAAAAGGGACATTTTCCATGGCCGTTTGCTGTGTTCCTTTTCTGATGCTGCCTACCTGGGTGCCTGTATTGTCCAAGGTAAGTAAAAGCAACAGCCTTTTTTAAATAGTTCACTCATATGTGTCTTCAGTAAAAAGAGCAATGCAAAACTATTGGCTGAATATAGCTACCAGTAACTTTTGTATTTAAGTGAAGTATGGCATAAATATTAGACTCCACTTATCAACAAAGCAAAACTCTTTCTGAGTCCTGACTGTAAATGTAGCCTTTTCCATTTGAACTAAGCAGGAGAAAGTATCCATCAGTGCTCTTTCTTATGGTAAAGAAGACCTGTGTGATCTCTGTCAAAAATAGAAGATGTACTTCAAGGAGAAGGAAATTTTATTTTGTTTTTCCTGTCTTTTTTTCTCTCTTTCTTTCTCCAGCATTTACTTAGAACCAAATTCAGGTGTATGTCTTGAATTGTATATAGAGAAATAAACAGCCATATGTCTGATTAGGGACATCATATGTGTGGAAATTCCCATTATTCTGCCTTTGCATAAATGAAGTTCTTAATGTATTATAAGACAGCGTATGCAAACCAAAACTGAGTCTAGACTGTATTAAAGAGTCTTATTAAGAAAATTAAACCATCAAATTCCATGTTTGGGTACTTGAGTGATGACATGTTCTAGAAGAGGAATCAAATTCTATGGGATACCTTAAATAACATTATGGTCTGTGTTTCTCTGCTAGAACAGAATTAGACCAGTCCATACCAGGGAGGATAAATGATGTGAAAAAGAGATGAATCAGAAATGCATTGTTTTAGTTCTGCCTGCTAACAGAATGATAAATACTCAAAGGGGAAACTTTGCCTATTCATCTGTTTTACAAAGCGTGTTTCTGCCACAGAAAATAGTTTACTATTGCTAATTAAAGCAGCAGTTAATAAGGCATGAGCTTCGCTTGAAACTCATTTATTGAAGTGGCAGTTATAAGGGTTTTGTTGTTCCAGTTAACTATGAATTCTTTAAAGCAGCATTTCTTGAGAGATGCTGGATTCTTACTCTGCATGGAAGTATCTTGAATTGCACTGCATTTACTGACTTATTTCCCTATTAACTAATGTTACAACTGGATTTTTCTGTTTTGTTTTGTATTTTGGATGTGTTTAGCTGAGCTTGGTGATTATGATCCCGATGAACACCCAGAGAATTATATCAGCGACTTTAAGATTTTTCCTAAGCAGTCACAAAAGCTTGAGAAGAAAATAGCAGAAATGCATAAAAATGAATTCAGGTAATTCAAAATGCTGTTTACTAAGGAGACAGCCAAGAAATACTTTTATCTGTTCCAAATATTGTATGTTAACTTAGGAGGGTTTGTTCCATGGATTTACAATCGACACTCTACCAATATGCTGTCTAATATACTGTATTTGAAAATGTGGTTTCAGCTTTGGGGGTTTTCTTTTCCTGTTAGTATGTTAGTATGTTAGTTCTATGTTAGTAATCATAGCTGAGTGCTGATAACTTAAATGTCATTTACTTGAAATGTAGGTCTGATTATGGGAGCAGCTCACATCATGAGCACTGCTCTGGTTGATGAGTGGAATAACATCTTTCCTTTAGGAATCACACCTCTTTTCGTGGGAAATTTCTATCTGTTGTGCAATTATAAAATTCTTGGTAGATATTGACCTGATTGAAACTGGTGAATTGCAAAGAAATATATTTAAGTAAATTTCTTGTAAGACTGAGGAGGTGAGACCCAGAGCTCTCTGCACATCTTTTTCTGTCCTAAAGTTTTAATGCTCTAACAAAGGGGAAAGGAGAAAGATAGATTAGTCTTTTGGTTTCAAAGTTCAATGTGTTTCAGGAGAGAAGTAGCAGTGACTTGTGCAACTATACCCTCTTCAGGGTTGTCAGCGAATGACAGGCAAAGCAGTCAAGAAGGTACCTTGCTTGATGCCCTTGGCATTTCGTTCAGTTGAGAATAATCGTCAAAAAATTCGAAGAGGAATAGGAGGTGCAGAAAATCAAATGAAAGCAAATAATTATTACATTAGGTGAAAAGATAGTTTTTGTTGAAAGATTATGAGGTCCTTTACACTTGTTTAAACCCCCTGTGCTTTGTTCTCATGTTTCAATGAATTTGGAAAAAAAAGATAAAAATTCCTGTTCAGAGGAGTTAAAACTTAAAATACCTTTTTTTTTTTTTTCCCCCAGAATTGTATCAAATGTGTTTTTCAAGTGAAGTATAACATTCATGGCAATAAGCTTGCCAGTATTAATGTGTCTTCTGTTTTTTTCCTTCCTGAAACTTACATACTTTCTTTGAATTTCTTTCAGTAAATGACAATTTAAATGGCACGGCTGTATCTAAAATTTTTAGAGCAGTCCAGCCTGCGCTGTACACATACCTGTAGAAAGCCTTTTGAAAAAGGAAATAGAATTCAGTGTTGTTCCATGCAGTGTTTGTAGATTTCCAAAGGAAAAATTCAAACTTTATAAAACAATATCTTTCATCAGTTAAGCCAAAGTGCAGTTGAAAAGACTTTTATAAATTCAGTCTTTAAAGAACAGGCTAGTCCTTTATTTAAAGTTAGAAGGAGGGAAGGAAGGGTGATAGGCCAAAGCTGGTGGGTTTTATATTTGGTGATGCTAGGAGAGATGTATTTTTCTGTCTTATTTGTTTTTCTTGATGGGTTTTGTTTGTTTGTTTGTATTTGTTTGGTTTTTGGTTTTGGTTTCGTTTTGGTTTTTGTTTGTGTATTTATGTGTAATTCTGCACATCCATTATAAACTTAATCAGCTAGTTCCTTTGTTATGAATAACTAGACATAATTTTTAGCTTATTTTTTAACCCTCTTTCCCGTTGGTGTAATCTACCTGAACACATGACAGTAAATATTACAGGCTTTTGCACAGATCCTGCTAGGATTCTCCTAGTCCTGAATTCCTCCCATCAATAGTTGCTCAGCATGTGAGGATATCCCCTGAATTTCTTTAGTAGTCTTGGGGAGGGACACTATTAACTACTGCATTTTGGAAATCAGATTATATCAGGTTGACTTCTTTTACTTATGGATCTGCTGGTTCCTACAAAGAATGCCAGGAATTATTTGAGGCATAACTATAATTTATAGAACAGTTTTTGTCATATACCACACTTACATGTATATGTTCCTTAGTTCTCTTCCTATTCTATATTTTACCAGTTTGTGTGTTACGAATTTTAGGCTCAGTGGCTTGTAGCTCTTTGCATCTCTCAGGAACTGTCATCTTTATTTTCTGTTTTCTTTTGCTTATGTCAGTACCTGGTATGCCTTACCTATTTGTCAGATTTCAGAGAACAGACAGTTTCAGAGTTGTCTGGATAGCTAGTACTTGGCAATTTCGCACTGTAGCTCTGTCTTCCCAAAATTGATAATCCTCTTACATTTTTTATATCAGACATTCACTAGTCACATAGAAGTTTTACATTTTTCAGATATTTAATTCCATGGATCTCTATTCTAGGAGTACAAATTAATAAAACATGTCTGCCACATAATGAACTGTATGTAGACAGGTCCAGTGTTAGATTATAATATTTACATATCTAGCTGGAAGATATTACTTGAAGAAACACTGAGTTTGTAACCTTCTGCATGGCACTGATTTACACATCGCTTTTGCTGCATTCAGTAAGCTGAATTTTCTGATAAAAATTAATATTTTGCTGCTCAGTAAATATTTTTAAAAGTGCTGCAAGAGGTTCGTGGCTTTTTTTTAACAAGATACTCAAGTGATGTATTAGCTGAGAGCTACAATATGAGGAGAATAGATGAGACTAGAGCCCTTCTATTCTAGCTGCCATTTGGCTACCTTCATAATAATCACCTCTGAGCTTCAGCACTGTGAGTCTGATTCTTCGTTTTTTCACATGTGTAAACAAACAAATATCATGACATCTCTCACCTGCAACAGATTCCCATATAACTAATGCCATATGGCTTAAAAGAGGTAATTTCTTCACTGAATCCTGTCTCACCATCCTTAAGACCTGTTTACTGGTCACATTTTCTTCTGTCCTATTGCATGATGGAATAATTTGGCTTTAGAAAGGAGCATGAAAATCATGATGGATTGTTTGGGAAGGAGCAGTAGAGTAAATAATGGCCAGTCTTCGCGAGCGAAGATCCGGGGAAGGTCTTTCCACCTTCCAGCCTGCGCATTGGATTTTTTAGGTGAGACACAGTGTGCGCGGAACTGAGCCCACCCTTTAATCCTAAGGTTCATCTGCCGGGGCCAAGCGAGCTTGGACAGTGGCAGTGAGGTCCTTAGGACGTAGGTGGGTTGCCTTTAAGGGCTAACGAGCCCCACCTGCCCGGGAGTGTCCCTGACCGGGAATCGAACCCGGGTCTCCGCGGTGATAGCGCGGCGCCCTTACCACTAGACCACCAGGGGCTCCTCAGCAGTAGAGTACTGTGACAGCTTCCAGTGACCTAGTGACTCATTAGGTGTCATTCAGAGCCCTTTTTTTTTTTTATAACTGAAAGCAGATGTATGACATGATGCCCCTACTATCCTTTGTGGATGTAAGAACATCACTGCATTTTAGCAAAATGTGACCTTTTATGTGAGTTTCTACTGCACCTAATTGCAAAAACATAAATATGACAGACAGAAATGCATGGCAGGTTTATTGAGTTGTGATTGTCTTATGAATTTTAATTAATTATTCTTCCCTCATTAAGAAGGGGAGAGGTAAAGAAACAAAACAAAAGACAAAAATACCTTGTTATGATCTTGTTATGAACAAGTCTTACATCCTTTAACAGAGCATCTGTTACTCTGACAAAGTTCCCTGGCTTTTGAAAGATACCTTTCAGCCACAGCTTCCAGAGGCCAGACACCTGAAAATACGGAGATTTCTAAAGGGAAAATGGGCATAAGTCTTTATCAAGGGAATTTATATTTATAGGAATAATGTTTTGGTTTGGTTTGGGTTCTTTCCCCTGTTGTTTTTGTTTTTGTGGTTTTTGTTTTGTTTTGTTTTTTGAAAGAACTGAGTGGTTGAAGACCAAGCTTTTTTTTTTTTTCTTTTTTTTTTTTTTTTTTTTTTTTTTTTCTTTTTTTTCTTTTTTCTTTTTTTTTTTATCCCAACCTGAAAACTAGCAATCTATTTCTACTTATTTCTGATATGAAATATTACACCATGTGATTTATATATGGAAGTGTTATGTAAAACACCATTAATTTATCTGAAAGTCCCATGCAAATATTAACTTTGACAAGTAAATTATAGGGGTGCATGACCTGTTCAACTTCCTGTTTCCCATGCTGATCCTGTATAGGTAAATGCAAGTTATTTGTTATTCCCTGGGACGGCCAGTGTGGATACAGTCTCAAGATGTCAGAGTGCTACTGAATTGCTATACTGTGTATACCAAATGCTCCAACTTTTGCAAAAGTCATGCATGAAAGAATACCTTTTGGGAGAAGAAAAAGTTTCCTCTCAGCCTGCAAAATCACTACCATATTCTGACAGTAACTATCACAAAAGCAATTTGAAATTTTAAGGCAAAGGGAGTATTTTCTTGAAACCAGAGTAGGAAATTAATGCCTGAGTTTGATCAAAGCAAAATGAATACTGGTGTTTAAATTGCACTTGACAGGTATATAACATTTTTTTCCTTTGCTGCATCATCTACACTGTAACTTCTCAGTGAGGACTTAAGCACTTTTAACTTTCTTCTGCTTCTTTGACTCTTACTATATTCTCCTCACCATACCATTAGTTACTATGCGTGCTCTGACTCTGGTTGCAGCAGGAGTACAGGATATCCTGATCTCCACTGACCCAGCTCTCTCCTGCAGACATGGATCTGCCAGTGGAGCCACTGGCAAGCATAACTCCAAATGTTACTATGAGAGTGCAATCTGGGAGGCTGTCCTAGAAGACGTGGCAGCAGTTGCTAAAAAGTGCTTTTCTTTGTGAGTGTTAATATCGTTACATTCAAGATTAAAGCACTTCTTGCATGGTGTTCATTTAGCATTTAAAAGTGCTAAAACTAAATTCATATTTAGGAAGTCCAGAATAAGGTGGATTTGGTATTCCATTTAAGTGCTTCTTGCAATTAAAACTACATATTATCTAGTTTTACGCATGTAATGCTGTCAGCACACTTATCTATGGGTTATATTTATCTTCTTGTGCTACCCTAATCACATTGGTATTTAGCAGCCTCATATACATGAAGGGAATCCTTTTGGAAGGATGCTCCAAAACTTGCAAGTCATGTTACAGGAGACAGAAGCTGCTTTGCTGGGGACGGAGGATATGCTGAGGTTTACATGGAGGTGAGGGGCACATTTGGAAAGAGGCAGGATTTGGGCTACTGCAGGGATAGATGAGTTCCAGGCCTAAGGAGCCAAAGTCTTTGTAGTTCCTAACTATACAAAGTATACTGAGGGCCTTGGAGAGCTGAGGAGGACAATGATATGTAGCCGGAGTTCTCAGGCAGGCAGTGGTGATAGCTGCTCAGGGCCTCACTTACATTATATCTCTGGCTGCACTGAATGCCCTCTTCATTCCAGCTTTGATAGCCCATGTTGCCTTGCTTACAGTCTCCCAGCATAAGCATTTAGATTTATCTATCAGGTCATATAGTGGCATATCACTGCAACTTCAAAAATAACTAATTCTCTCTAAGGTAGCAATCTGGTATTAAAATGTCATTGTTTGTGCTGTAATCGGTGAAAAATTATTTGTTTCTGATTCTGCCACATTTTCCTGGTATTTTCTTTCTTTCACTCCATAGTTCATATCAGTTGTAATTTGGATGAATTAGAGAGATGGTTGGAATTTAGTTACCTAGTCCTTTTCCTGAAGGATTCTCTGTGTGCTGCTTTGTTATCCTGAAGTATGTTTTTACTGATAGAAGTGTACTTAAAACCAATTCAAATCAAGGGACCAACCATTCTTGTACTTCTGGATGCACTAACTAGGAAATAGTAAGTGAGGCATTGTTTTGATGTAAAAATAATAAGTGAGATGCTGGATTGGTGTTTGCATGGCGCAGAGAATATTTCCAGAAGTTTATGGTGAGGAACCTTTACCTGAGCAGAAATTTAATGGAAGATGCAGTTGTAGTGGTAATCTAGAGAAAGCAAATTCACTGGCAAGAGTTGTCTTTCCCCTCCTCTTTTGAAAAACTGAAAGGATACATCTGTACATGGGATTTTTCTTTTAATGGAATTCCAAGAGTATTCAGTAGAAATTCAGTAGAAAGGATGATCTATTAGAACTGAAACATGCAGCAATTTTTTTTTCCAACATTGATAATTTTTTATCTTTAGTGAAGATTTGTTTTGTGTGTGTGCGTGTGCATATGCATGTGACTTTTTTTTTTTTCTTTTTTTAACCTTTTTTTTTCCTCTGTAAAGAGTGGTCATAATCATGATCTACATATGTGGTTGTTTTTACCATGCTAGTTGTTGCCTGTCTCATCACGCAGTTTGGGTTCATATTCTGCACACTTAGCATGCTCTTATCTTCAGATGTCTGTGTGAAATTCTACAACACAGGGATTTCTTTTAGCAGCTGAAAGGACCTATTTTCTCTGCCCCCTCCTCCTTCACTCCTTCTTTATTTGGGGAAGGCTTTATGGGCTAGAAGTGTCTGGACCAGAAATATTAATCACCTTGATAAAACCAGAGAGCTTAGTAGATTTCTCTGTATCATGGGAATAGATTTTAAATTAATAATAGATAAATTAAAACCGCATCTGTTCTGTAAACGTATTCTATCTTTGAATAAGCTTAAAGCTGTGTCTGTGTCATTGCATCAATTTATAAAGTTGAAATACAAATATCTGAACACAGACTTCAGAGATACCATCTCATTTGATCTCTGAAGGTACAAAAGTAATTTGAAATGTTCTGGTAGAAAGAATTACGTAAGTGGTACATATCATTACAGCATGCATGGTGTAAAGTTAAATGCATAAGCATTTAATAAACTCCATAAAAGAGTTTGATTATTGTTTTAAAGTGATTTATTTGGGTTTTACTTGGATTATATATGTCTGAGAGAAAAAAAATGCAGTAAAATTAAAATTGGTATTTATTGGTTCAGCAGCTTTTTAAGTTTAGTATGTTCCAGCAACATTTCAGCAGTTCATTTACTTGCTGGGTGAACATGGTTTTTCCCCTATGTGTACTTCTCATGAGCCTAAAGTTAAAAACAGAGTGTGTTGCAGACTTCTCACTCTTACATTGAACTATTTGTTTAATTCAATTTTATTAGGAAGGTTTAGATTGATTGATTCCTAGGCTGAATCATAAATTTGTAGCTAATAACTGTGGAACTGTTATTTCACAAGTAATCCACATTTACTGTTTGTATGGTATGCAGAAACTTTTCTCGGTAATGGTTTCTTTTACTAGTCCTGTTCAAACCTTTGCAGAGGATCAACACAAGAAACACAGACACCAACTTTAAAGAACAGGCATATAAATTTATTATAGTGCAAACCAGCAAAGAATTACAAAAGAAGAAATGAATTATAGAAGAATAAGCTTAGCAATGCCCCTAGTCATTACTACAAAGAGTGTCTGTGTTGATATAGAAAGATATATCACCAGTTACCCTATTCAATGCATTACCATAATTAGCATCCAGACCTGCACGTCAGCTGGAGAGCCCCCATTACAGTGAAGGGTTGGAGAAGCACTCCTGGGAACTGGGAAATCTTATGCAGTGCTTCCACTCACAGATGAGGCTTCCGCCTTTGCTGTGAGAGGATCCAGCTTTTGTACTGGTAAACAAACAAGCTTACATCACTTATTTGGTGCAGAAAATATTTAGCTTTCTTTTCTCCTTGGTTTTTCCCCAAAGCCTGACCAGGCCTCAGAGGAGAATCAAGGGATTCCATTTGGACCTACTACTGTCGAATGGGGCCAATCTCCTATCTCCATGGCCTTGACTAGTCTCTAAATACAGAATGATGGATACCTTCATAGCAAACATAAATCTTTATTAATTAGGTGGATACCGATATTCCTTACTAACAAGCATGCATGTTTACACAGGTGTAGCATTACAAATGTTACTAAGGATTATATAGAATTTGGGCTAATAAACAGATACATGACTAAATATAACATTAGGTTGGAAGATCTATCTAGGGGCCAGCTCACGTTGCAGCCAGATGTGGTAGTGGCTGCAACATGTAGAAACATGTATCTTTTACTTAATGATGTGAAAAATAAATCAAGAGGAGTAAATGCACTGACAGAGACACGACTTTCCTGAGAGAACTGAGTTATAAACCAGCAAAGATGATATTTTCCACTGTAAGAGGCAATAGTTGAAACACTTACATGTGTTAAGAAATGCTATAAATTCTTGTGTAAGGATGTTCGCTGCATGTAGAAAGCTTAAGGCTTCTAAACAAAGCAAATCAAAGCTATATCTAATGTTAGATCAGTGATTGGTAAAAAAACATTGACTTTGCTGATAGGATTTGGTACAGGTATATTTTTATTTAGTAAGAAAAATCTCTTCACTAAGTTACAGATGAAAAGCATTTATCAAGACAAATATTAATCCTTTGAGAAGAGATAAATGAGGAATTTTCATTTGATACTGCTCTTGACTCTTGTGCTTTGTGATGTTCTTTTAAGGCTTTGCACTGTGGCCATTTGATTCGCCTGTAATCTGATAAGATCAAATTTATCCATGTTTTCTGCCTTTTTTTTTTCCAGGTGCCACATCTTGTTCCACTTGATGTCACAAAACCACTATAGTTTCAGAGGCTATAGGTGGGGAGAGCCTGCTAATTTTGTTTTTTAATATGTCTCTCTAATATTTCTCCCCATTTCAGTATGCCAAACCCCTAAACTACATTGTTGCAAATCACTTGTCATTTTTGGTCCATTCAAATCAAAAGATTGACTATTTTCCCTTATACCAGCTAAGGTATCTGGATAAAAGATGTATTTTATAATCTTATATTTTTGTAAGGCTCAATATCCAATAAGCAATCAAACCATCTATTTGTTTGGCTTTTCATTATGCTGCGTAAGTGTGCTAAGTAATTTAGGTCTAACTGGTTAATTAATTCTGTCATGTGCAGTTGACTTGTACATGAAACAAATTTATTGCCTTTTTAAGGGTCATTTATGGTCTTAGAGTTGTGATTAAACATAAGGTTGTGACTTATTAACACTGAAAATGGAGAAAAAGTCCAGTAGAGCTACCAGCAAGTTGACTGGGAAAAATAAGCATTTTTCTTTTGCTTGCTGCTTTCATGCTACTTTTTCATTAAGCGTTTAACTGTGTAAACATCTATTTTTAAGTCTTGATGTTCCACTTGAGGCATATTCTTCTCCATTGGAAAGAGGTGAGAAAGAGACCCAAAAAAGGAGAAGAAAGGCCACATCTCTAATATTATTTTCTGTGTGTGTGTGTGGTTTTTTTTTTTGCCTTTAAAAGCAAAATATCAAAAAAAATGTGGCCTGAAATAGGATGAAGGTTTTGTGTGTATTGAGAGAGATCCAAAATAAACACAGAAGAAGCCCAAGAAATGTCATGAGATTGAGTGGGAGACGATGAATGGTGAAAATTAACAATAGTAAAAGCTTTGTAAGAGAAAAGGTTATTGATACTTACATTGCCACAGGGCATCATCCTGTTAGGTTTAAAATAGGATTTGATATCCACAAGTGTCCTAGGTATTGTCTTAGTTGTTAAACTGAATTTTGGGCCAGTTACTGAATATCTTATATCGATGCTTGTTGGTTTCCAGCTACTAGGAATAATAGACTTACAGGGAAATTATTCTACACCAACACATAGTACAGTTTTAAACTTCAGTTCCCATGTACCATTGATCCCAGTGTGAGCCTAGACTCCAAAATGCAGGCATAAGATAAAGTATGACTATGTTCCTGGAAAAGTTGTTTATAGTGGCTGTCTTTCTTTGGTTGTTGTTGTTGGTTTGGTTTTCTTTTAATAATTTGCATGAGATTTATGAGGCCTGGCTTTCTAAAAGTCTTAGGCACTGTTCATTGTCATAACACCATTTTATGTATCAGAATCATGTACTCTAGTTATGCAGATACTTAAATGAAACAATAGCTGAAACAGTTCACTTTCAAACAGACATTTTAAATCTATATTAGAACTTATTGTAATAGCAGGACTTAGTGAAAGTCAAGTAATAAAACTTACTCTGGAACTCAAGTCTTGCATACCATGTTTCAGTCTTTAACATATATTCATTGTTGATTATAGACACCCTAAAAATAGGGGTGTATAAATGGAAATGCTGACAGATTCTGATGTTGGTAACAGGCACTGCTATAATTAGGCATGCATCTGAGTAGAAAGTGTAATATGATTGCTGCGTTTATGCCCTGAGCTGGAAGGAATGTTTGTTAATCTTCACAGTCCTTTTAAACAAGTTGGGGAGCAAGAGTTTGTGGAAAAAAGATGCTGAAATTTATTTAATATGCAGGCCGATGTGATTGTATATGAAAAGAAAAGAAATATTGGACAATTCTGGCTAAGTGTTGTTATCTCAGGATTGAGAAAAAACTTCAGGATTTTCCTGAAAACATCAGGCACTGTACAATTCAAAAGAAGAAAACATGAAAAGTTTTCTATCTTTTTATTATAAACAAAACATGGTTGAATATGTTTGAATGTCAGTAAAAACTTTCCTCTGCTTTTAGGTATTTAAACTCTGCAGTCAAAAAATCTTTTTCTCCTGTTTTGTTTTTGGTGTAAACCTGCTGTTTCTTTTGTAATTTCAGAGGTCAGAGCCCAGCTGTTGCTGAATTCAACTTGCTCTTGAAAGCATATTCTTTGGAAACTTATGGTGTTGATCCTCATCCATGCAAGGTAAGAGTCTTTTTACTAATATTTAATAAAGCAATCTTTTTACTAATATTTACTTAAAATACATTAATGGAATTGATTTAGCTCTGGTTTTTTATCCATGCACAAATAGTAAGTAATTTATAAAAAAACGCGCCCTGGAACTCTATATTATGCTTAAGGCTTGGAAGAACACTGACAGCTTGACATTGCTGCATCAGTCAAAGGAAAGGTCTCTCCAGAGGAAGCAGAACATCACAGGAGAATGTAGTTGAGTGTCGTGACATTAAGCTTTGATTATACTTCATAATTTCTTTGATTTAATGCAAAAGTCTCTCTTAAGCACTCCAGGTGTGAAATACTTTTTGTTTGCCAAAATTTTCAGAATTCAGCATTATTCTGTCCAGAAGGTGCAACAAATTGATAATCCTTGGCAGATCAGTTTTTCAAATACCATCAGAGTTTGAAAATCTAAGGAAGAACAAGAAACCAAATGTCCTATTTCCACCCCCCACTTTGCTATTTTGTGGTCCTCTATAAGAAGGTGATTTTAATTAACAGTTATGATTATCTTTTATACCTGCATTTTTAATTACATGGTTGTATCTGCATAATCCGCCCTGTTTATTTTTAGTATTACTTGCTTTTGTTTTAACTGCTGCTTTTACTTTGGCTTGTATATTGTTGAAAGGGCAGTACCGTTCAGTTAGATGTGCTGGTGGTAAGCACCCCTAAGCTGTGATCTCTAACACAAAGCTGCATAAGATGTCGTATATACTTTGTCAGAAATTGTGCTCCTGTGTGAAAGATGGGCTGGTTCAGAGCTCAGTGCAGTCAGTGACAGTAAATTTTAGTTTGAAACTATACTGGAAATTTTCAAAGGACATCCCAGAGACTTAGGTTGACACTTAGCCCAGAGGCAAAACTGGCTCAGAATTTCCTCTTTACCTGTGTGGCAGGGCTGGTAGTGTGGGGATAGTGAGAAGTTTGTGACCCATGCTTAAGGCAAATTTGTCTGTCTTCTGGTAGCAAACAACAAAGCAAGGTTCTTCTATGGCTCCTTCCAGTGCTGTGGCTGCTACTCCAGAATGATCCCTGTTTCAGTTCCCTTTTATTCTCTTAGTGAAACATCAGGCACAATAAAGTTGACTATCTTTAGCAAGATGAGGGTATGGAATTTGGAATGAACAGGAAATCCAATGGATACAAAACTCACCTGAATCATTAATCAAAAAGGATGAGCCAGAACTTTTATTGTAGAGTTAAAATTTTAAAATGGTCTCTTCTATTTGAAAGACAAGTATCACCATATCTTCTGGTTTGTACTCAAGAATACTTGAGAATACTCAAGAATACTTGAGCACAAACCAGAAGCTTATAGTAGTAAAAGCTGTCTGTCAGGAGTACTTCCAACACAACATCTCGCAGAGGAACAATGTATTCGGAAATCTTAAAAAATATCAGTGTTGAAGCAGATACAAATCCCTGGTTTGTAGTTAGTCAGCGTATTAAGGATGGGACATAAACAGAAGTATATTTTCAAGAAAATTAGTAAATTAACCTAAGGAGTCCCTGTTTTCATCAGCTACAGGTAGATGGGAAAAAAAGCATAAAATGCTGTTTCTCACTTAAATTCCTAGAAATAAATGAGGCCTGTGTTGCCAAGAGCTGCATTTTTTTTTAGAAATGTACATTTTGAAAGCAAAATTTATTTTGAAAAGGAAAACAAGATAGAGGTAATCTAGAGAGGAGTAACAATTTATGCTGTCAGTAAGAAATACCTCACTGGATGAAGGGAAAATTATGTTTCCTTTTCTCTTTCAAGGACTCAGTCGGGACAACTACATTTCTAGGATTCACAGCTGCAGGATTTGTAGTTTTCCAAGGGAATAAAAGAATTCATTTATTAAAATGGTAAGCGTATGAAGTAAATGTATCTTAATTAGTAGGAGTATTTTCGCCTGTGTCTTTTCTTCTTCCTGCTATCTTCACCTGCACCTCCTGTAAGGAAGACCATGTGAATATGCCTTCTCTTGCCCCATCATGTTTCTGATTCAAAGGATTTTAGATAAAAACAATAGTAAGACCAACAACAACTTTGGTCTCATTCATCCCCTAATGAAAATAATTCCACGGGGTGCATTAGTCAAAATAATGCATGAACGTTAAAATTGAGTAAGTTGATTTTTTTCAGCTCTACTGTGCCACCAGTGAGGCTTATTGGCAGAGGTGTTTGGAATTGTTTACAAGAGTTCACCTTAATCTTTATTTGACTCTTGTAAAAATATTACTATTTCCTATTTTCCATAACCTCAGTTTGAAAACTACAAAAGAACTTATTCGGTAAGCAGAGGAGGAGGTGAGAATGCCTTAAAGGTTTTTTTTTTTCCTTTTAGTCTCTCTTTATTTTTTTCCCCAAGAAGTTGGCACTTATGCAATTGTCCTTGGTTTTTCTGGTGTTGCTTTCATTTTGTGCTCCTGTAAAACATAACTGTTTAGCAACAGCCAGCCACATTTGAGTGAGAGGTTAAAACTGAACTCCTAGAGGTGATGTAAGTGCAGCTGGTCATGCCCTCAAAAGTGGTGCAGAGCTAACAGTCATGCTTAAATGCTGATAAATCTCTTTTTAGGCTGCTACACGGATGTCAACAGCAGTTACTTGGGTGTGGCTGTTCCATCTCAGAGCTTTCAGCCTGTTTTATAGTATCAAGACAGGCAGAAGGTGAAAAAATGCTGAAGCAGTTTTTAAAGTACAGCTGGAATCTTTACTGCATATCTGTAGAAACCTCCCTGATAGTTGAAGAACCTGAAATCTTTGGAGCTGTAAAGTCAGTGTACAGTTCAGTGCCCTGTGGATCTCTGGGGACATGCCTGTCAAATGCCAACCACTTGCAATACTGGATTTATGCTGTAGTTTCTCTGGGGTTAATTACAGGTAGCCCTGGTCACAGTACTTCAGTGGTTTGTGCTTTTGGCATAAGGATGACTTTACCGTAATGTCAGTCTGTGGTGCACAGAGGAGAGAATAGCCCTTGCCAAGCATTTGTCCACCATATTATGGGAAAGTAATTTCACAGCACTTAGTTTTTCAGGTTATTTAAGGACAACGTGTCTTTCTGGAGATCTAGGTATATTTATTTTGTCCATTGATGTGTAAACCAGATACAAAATGAAATAGCAGTAGAGGAAAAGCCACTAAGCTGTCTCAGTGTTACTCTAGAGTTTGGAAGGTTGGCCTGATGAAGTTTATTTGATGCACTGCTTCTTTCATCTCCAAGGTGTAGAAGTGAGTGCTAGTAACTTTAGTGTTAGCTGAAATTTGCATTAAACTGTAAAAATCCAAATTCATATTTGAAATTTCATTTTCAGTTTAATATAAACTGGAATATTTTTTGCTGTTGTTTATGTTAAGCAAAACTCTTGCTATAAAGTTTCAGGGGTAGCATTGTCCTTGCCTCCAGAATTATTCCCATTTCAAGTATCTGACATCCAAAACCTTTAGAGAAGTTTATGAAAAAGCTCTGGTGATGACAAAATTTCCATTGTAATTTAGGCAGATACATTACATTGCCGTTCTATGCTGCATTGCTATTCCATATGTAGACTGAGCTTTCAGCCTTGGTTAAATTAAATTTTGAGATAGGTTTGCAACTCATAAGGCCCCTGTAGTAAGTTTTGTCAAACATTTTCTTTTTTTTTCCCTATTGTATTCCGTAGTAAGTAGTCAGTTACTAAGATGTGCGATATGAAACCTCAAATAAATAAGTATAAATAAGTATGGGAAAAAAAGTATTATCTTTCACTCAATTTAATTACAATATACATTTTAAGATTTTAAGAGGATTCACAAACTGTGTCATAAATAGCGTGTAAATGTAAGTTTCTGTCTACCTTTAATTTCCTCTTCAGTTTCAAGCAGCCAAAGTCAGTTCTTTGAATGTGCATAGGCATGTAAAAGAAATACTGTGGACTTATGTTCCCTAAAGAAAATTAGAATATTAGATACTTCTACGCTTAAAGTTGTAAGAGTCCTGTAGAGGCCCTTTGTCATTTGACAACCTTCTTGACTTTGTGATCAGGGAAACTTGCATGTGAGTTGCATTTCTTACTAGTAGAACTATCTGTTTTTCCTGTACTTAAATATTTTTTCCTTTTTCTAGGTGTGATGTCTATAAACTAAAATTTGAAGGGAAGACTTTTTATGTGTTTGGAGCTCAGAAAGAGGTTAGGTTTAACATTTTTACAGAACTTCTCTATTTGTTTAAGATCCACTAAGACATAACATAATTTTTTAACTAAACCAACTTCTAAACAATCAATAATTGTACTTCATATTGTAACAAAAATATAGAATATGAATTAATGTTAAATTGCTGTTGTCAAAAGAATGTCTAATTTGCAAAAGGTTGAAACATTTTTTGCTTAACCTTCATGCCATGCTATGTTGATTGTTCATGGTTTTGATCATCATTGGAGTCAAGCTTTAAAAGTGCTGTACTCACCCACTTTGAAGTATAGAAGACGTCTGTATATGATTGAAAATATACAGAGCATTGATCAATTTGAGTTATTTTTGGATAATCACAATCACGTCCTCAAATCCTGGTCAGCTTAATAGGCTATAGTCTGTCCCATGTAGATAGGAATTATATCATTAGGCTTTTGTGATTGAAGTCATGGAGATTTTTGCCTACAGCATGCTATAATCAGTTCTTTACCTAGGTCAGAGTGATGCAGTCTAAGATTAAGGTTTTGAATGCAGGTGAGGAAAGAAAATGAAGGAAGGAAATAATGTCAGAGTTATCAGGAACTGTTTGTGTGGTTGCAAGCAGATTTTGGCAGCAGGACATCAAATAGTAGGGAACAGGGAGAGGTGAGTGGTAAATAGTGCAACAACTGTGCACTAGATTATTGAAGACAGAGACTTTCCTCCTTTGATTTTGACCAGAATACAGTTATTCCACAAACCCCTTGTACATATGATCTTCCATGTCCCTTCCAAGCATTTCCTTTTATTTCTGAAAAATTTGTGTGGGCTGTTTTAAGTATCAGCTCTCTATGGGCTCCACATCGGTGGGTGAACCACCATTTGAACATACACGGAAAAAATTGGTCTTCAGTGTATCTGGTTAATGGTGAGGCTGTCAGGTACAGCTACTTCTGTCTTTGAGAATTGAACATTTTCACTACTTTAATTTGTTTTCTTTTCCTTGCACTTAGAAAAAGGCTATGCTGTCATTCCACACGTCCACACCAGCGGCTTGCAAGCATCTGTGGAAGTGTGGGGTGGAGAACCAGGCTTTTTACAAGTATGTAAACCTGAAGTAATTACCTGTACTAAAAGCAAAGAAATGCATGTGAGAAGAAGATTATTCAATGTGAAATTTTCCATTTCATGAACAGAATGCAAAATGCAAACAGAAAATATGCAGGTTAATTGGGAATGTTATTTCATTTCATACCATTATTAGAAATTGTTTAAAATCTAAGTGAGGTAAGAGGGTTTGGCAGTGAATAATTATACTTTCTCCAGCACACTGTTTTTGATGCTCTGAAGTGAGATCTTGGATGGACACAGTATGGCACTTGTGTCTGGGAACCTTGTTGCCCTGCTGCTGAATGTATTGAGAATTCTTCAGGCACTTCTGCCAGGCATTGTTCTTCCACTTGAAATCCAAGTTTTAGTAAGAGTTGATTGAAATATAAACAATTCTCTCTGTAATTTAAAAAAGAAGACATTTTAAGATACATTTTGAAAGATACCAGCAATCTTGTTAAACAAAAACAGCATGTAAATTGACAAAAAACCGAAAGAGTATCTGCCTCCCTATTCTTTAAAAGAGAACCTGATAACAATTCCTCATTAAAAAGCTCTTATGCATTCTTTCTGTCCTACATTGACTTTGTTAGATCTGTTTAGTTATGCTTCCCTTTAGGCATGTAGCTTTTATTCTTGCTACTTAGTTTCTCTTTACAGACTCTTGCATATTTTACAAAAATTAGTGTTTCTGTCTTGACACACAGCAACACCGGGGGCTGCTGTAATGGTAAATAGTAACTAAGTAGGAAGAACTTGTGTTCTAACCTGGATGTTAATAGTCTAATTTAATTTGGAGACGAGTCCATCCTTCTCTTGTTTCAACATCGATATGATAATATATAATCTATTCAGTTGGTCTATTTATGAAGAAACAGGAAGTATGAGGTGTCACAACACATCTGATAATTCTCTGTGTTAATTACTACTGTCTTTGAGACTATGTAAAGTCTATATATAGTCTATTTAGAAAGATTAAAATGTTTATCAGGAACTGTTTTCAATTTGAAATAGACAAGTAGAAAAATAGTGCATATTTTTTGAGTGGTTTTATTTTATGTTAGTAGAAATAAATAGGGAATAGGAAACAATTTCCACCCAAAGAAGAAAAATTAGTGCTAAAAGTAAATATGTCTGAGGAAGACTCATAGGAATATAACCTCTCTGCTCTTGTTGTTAAATGGTTGTAATATTAATCACAGATACATGATTGTAGGGAGTTTGATCTTGGTGCCAGATGCCTACCAGCTGCTCTCTCAACAGGTTAAAAGGAGAAAATAAGACTAAATATCTCATAGGTTAAGATAAAAATGGAAAGATTGCTTACCATTTACTGCCACAAGCAAAACAGATTTGATGTAGGGAACCTACTCATCTATTTCAAATTGTCAGTAAGACAAAACTAAAAACACTCCCCTGCGTTTCTTTACAGGCTTAGCTTTACTCCTTCATTTCTAACTGCTCTATGTCCTTCATGCCATGAGCAGCTCAGGGAGATGGGCAATGGGGGTTGCACTCTCTCTCTGATGCTCCTTCCTTCTCACACTTTCCCCCTGCTCCAGTCTCCTTCATAAACTGCTCAAGCATGGGTCTTTCCCATGGGCTTGCAGGCCCTCAGGATAAACCTGCTGCATCATGGGTTCCTCTCCATGGATCACAACTCCTACCAGGAGCCAAGTGCTGTGTGGGTTCTCCACAAGCTGCAGCTTCCCTAAGAGCATGTGAATCCGCTCTAGTACGGAGTCCTCCACAGGCTGCAGTGTGGATATCTGCTCTGTAACAGCCTGCATGGGACAGCCTCTTTCCCCATGGTTTTCTCCATTGGCTTCTGGGTAGACTCTGCTCCAACACCTGGGACACCTCCTCCTGCTCTTTCTTCTCTGATCTTGGTGTGTGCACAGCTGCCTCTCTAATCTGTTTTTCTACTTTCCAAATGTTTTCAGGGAGTGGAGTTATTTCTTTAGCATGATTGATTGCTTAAAATTATGTTCACCTGTTTCAACTTTGCTGGGTCATTCAAGAGGACTTCTTTAATAAAATGAAGATTTGTAATCATATTAAATGGAGAGGATTTAATATGATTAGAGAGAAGCAGTAGGATATGATGTAGGCTACTAAGAAGTTGATTGAATAGAGACATAGGAAATGCAACTACTTTGGGAGAACAGTAGTTGTCGTTATTACTTCTTTGTTTTCATAGTGGGAAAGTGGAAGTAGTCATATTTTCCTACAAACAAGGTGGCGTTAGGTGCATGTCCTAGGCGGTTTTGGGGTACCACAGTCTTTTCTTCTTCATTTCTGGGATTGAAAGTCCACAGATGTAGAAAATATGTGCATTTAATTTTCTCATTTTCCTGGCTGGGTAATCACTTTTTTGATGTTCAGTCATTCTGTGCCATTTGAATTATTTTGTCTGTGCTTCAATACCCTAGTTTTGCATGAAGGCCTTAAAAATATTGGAAAGTAATTTTTGATTACTTTATGATATAAAAATAACAAAGCTTGTAGTTTGCCTTGTTCATTTTTGCTTATCATGCCTATGAAAATCTGATAGTGTCTGTTGTTTTTCTTCAAGGTATGCAAAATCCAGTCAGATTAAAACGATGTCCAGCAGCAAGATATTTTTCAAAGGCAGTAGATTTCGATATAGGTGGGTATTTGCTTTTTCTTGTTCATAGTAAATCATTTCAGAAAGTAAGAAAGTATCAGTAATTAGTCATGCCAAATTGAGGGATTTTCCTGCTGAAGGGTGTGTTCACACTTATTTGAGACCAGGATTTGAAAAATTTTCTGTTGTCTCTTTAGAGTCACTTCTGAAATAAATAGTCTTCACACAGACACTTCTGTCAAGAGCAGTTTCACCAGCAGACAGCTCCACTTTTGGTGCTGCTTCTGCAAGGAGGTGTGGGCAGTGCAGAGACTGTATGCCCCTGCAACTGGGCAGCTATGAAAATGGGGGTGCATTAAAGAGACAGTACAGTCCCACTCTCAGTGTTCTACCACAAAAGGTTACTTTTCCTTCAGTAGCTTTACAGCTAAGTAGTCAGCACAGTTTTTTTTGGGATGTTATATATCCACTTCATAGAATTTTTTTTTATTGCCCTTTCCTTTTATTTTTCTGAATGTAACTTAGCTGTCCATGTATAAGTAGTTCTTGGCATATATCTTACTTGAATATTTATATCATCTTTTAATGCAGTGGAAAAGTAGCCAAAGAGGTTGTGGAGGCAAGCTCTAAAATCCAGAGGGAACCTCCTGAAGTTCACAGGTATGTCTTGATATTCAATACTAAAGTTTAAAGGCTTAGGACGATTATTGTTCTCTGTAGAGAAATTCTCTGTTCTTTACTCTCAGGTGTGATGGTTGTCATTCTGAGCTTCTACAATGATGCATGAAAGCCTTGGGAAATATGTGTTGCCATTGTTACAAAATTCTGACAATAGCGTATTTTCTTGTACACAAGAGATCCTAATCTGCACTACTTTGAAGCTGGGCTTAATCAATCAGTCAGATTGGCAGTTTATATTATTTTTTGTGTTATGCCATAAACTGTCATTACATGATCTTGATGGAAAAGTACATTCTCATTTCATTCCTAGTTTTGTTTGCTTTGAGAGGTTCTGTTCTATATGTGTTGAAAGGTATACTGGATAGTGCAGTCAGATTAAAGAGCATGGAGTTCATTCAGTAAAGAGAAAAACAAATCAGAGAATCCTTTTTTTAAAAAAAAAAATTTTCTTATAAAAAATGAGCAGCTACACTTTGTAAGCAAACTTATTGTTTTCAAGTCCTTATCACTCATTGTAGTGACAGCGAAAATTGTTAAGAACCTGATTAAAGTACTTCAGAAGAGAAAAAAGAGGCCAGCAGGGAAAACTATGTAAAGCCTTTTTTAAGAAAAGATTACTTAACTTTCTGAACATTCTCCAGACATATCCTTATTTATACCAGGATTTTTTTTCAGGGTTGGAGTGTGTGAGTTTGGTTTATTTTTAGTTGAGCAACACTATTTTGTCTATATTTGAGATAAAAGTGAATTCTCTTTCCTAAAGAGTAGGAGTATATTTGTGTAACTATTAATAATGTGTTGTCCAGCCCTAGTATTTAATTAATAGTAAGGCCATGCAGGGATACTTTTTAAGATGCTTTTCCAAATTACATTTTAAAATGGGGTATGAGAAAGTCTAGAATGTGTTAAATGAGAATATAGAAGGCAGAATATAGATGTATCATTGAGGCAGGATAGAATACTTGGGCACAAAAATGTATTTTAATGAGAATAGTTGTTCAAAAAAGGAAATATCTTATTGCCTACTTTCAGTGGGGTTTATATGAAAAGATTTTCACATAAAATTATTTTTTATCTTGTATTTTACTTTCCTCACTTTCAGTATTTAAACTTGATAGTTAAAGCTTAGTGTACAGAAAGAAACAGATCAGAGGGCAAATAAGTTTATAAAGCAACATCATATGGATTTAGTACCTATAAATAGCAATGTATTTTTTTTATGATTAACCTCCTTAAAATATTAGTTGTAAACATAAATAAGATCCGAGTTCAGTTTCTTAGAAAGACTAAGGCAAACTCTAAGCATTTCAGATGTTTTTATAATTCAAGTTGTGAGATGTGAGACAGGTAGCTGGTCCTTCTAACAGCACAAGTAGGCAAAAAGTATAGAAAATTTTTGACTCAGAATAAAAGCAGGTTTTAGAAACAAGTTACTCTGTGAAAGAGGATTTGAAGATAGGAAATGGAAGCTTTTCAGATACAAAACATTAAGTGGAAATTATTTGACTGAAGGTAAATATATATATATATAAACATATGTGAAGTTTTCTCTCCCTGTGCTCCCGCCCTCAAGGCCACTTCAGTTATCTGCACTGAGAAAGAAAAATGCAATTGAGAGGAGGGTACTGTTCATTATCTTTGTCTTTGTATGTTACACTTAAAGGCACTACAGACTGAAAATCTGTTGAACTGTACAGTCATGCAGGATTAATGTAGTGGCAAGTTCTTCTGACAAATATGCACTGAATAATTTAGTATTCTTCATCCAGGGCATGCCTGAAGGAGGCATACCTTTGTAAATAAGTACAGAGTAGAAATATTATATATGCTCTCAGGCACAAGTCCTATTTAGGGAGTTGCTTCAGAGCTCTTCAGAGCAAGCACAAAGATGCAGGGATTGCATAACAAGCCTTTGGACGTGCTGTTGGGTTGGAGTGATTGTAATGACAATGATCTGAGTAAAACCCTTCTTTGGACAGAGCAAATTTGTCCTGGATTACACAAAAATTCTGCTATTCACCTTTTTTTTCTCTTTTTTTTCTGTGTCTTGTTGGCTTTTTGGTGTTTTACCTTTTTTAAAAAGACTGAACTGGTAGTGCTAATGACTCAAGCATTTGACCACCTGCAGTTACTCCCCACTTGCTGGTGCTGGTGACTCGATCAGCAGCTGCTTTGCTGACAATGTGTAGAGTGGCCACCCAGGCCAGGGGTTGAAGGCATGCACATCCAACACCACGGCCTACAAGCTGGGTATTACACAAGATGAGGAAAGAGGCAAATCCTATGAGGTGGGGTTCTTTTTCTTACGCAGCTGACTCAGCTGTGATAACTCCCCAGAACATTCACACCCAGCCTGAAGGAATTTTCTCTTTTTGATGAGCCATAATGGGCCATAATGGACTCAGCTATACTGATTTAAGAGACAACTGGAACATCTTAGAAGATGTCAAAGATTCCCAAAGTATCCCATGACTCAGAGTATTACATCAGCCAGTGTAAAACTCCCCACCCCAAGGGAGGTACCAGAGGTGTTCCCACCTGAACTAGAGCACATTTAACTCTGAATTTTGGGGCTTCCCTCACCCAGCTGGGGCTTCCACCACCACAGTGACAGATCTGGACTGTGACCACCACTTTGACAGCACTGTGACACTACTTTGACCAACAAACATTGAAATTGCAACAAAGTCTCATTACTGAATCCAACCATGTCTTGTGGGTCCTTCAGGTCACCCAGGGGATCCGCATCCCTGCTCCGACTGCCTGTACCAGCACTACAGCCTCACTGCAGTGCCACGCAAGTGTCTGCCAGATCTAATCCCAGCTATCTGCCATTTCATGCCAGCATTGACTCTCAAACTGTTCTTGCCTGCTTTTCGGGGTGTGGGAGAGATGAACCACATGGAGAAGTGGTCAACTTGTCTCTGTCCTGTGGCCGTGTGTTTTTTCCCAGGTGGGGGAGGCCAACTGCCATCTTGATTTGGTCTGGTGGTCAGATCTTGGGAAGTTTCTCCTCAGCAGTTGGTTTAACCCAGTTTTATCAATATTGTTATTTGCATTCTTCATAGTAAAGAGTTATCTTTTCACTTGTATCTGGGTGTATTTGGTCTCTCTCTCTACATTGAAGAAACCAGGAGTATTGAATCCAAGAGAAGAGACTTCTGTCTGAAGTCTCCACCTCTCCAAATTGTCTCAAACTGAGACAAAATATAAACTAAATAGTTATCAGAGACTGTTCAGAGAATGCAAATGAGGATATAATTATATTTAGGTATATATTAAGGAGCAAGAAATCATGGCAATTGAGCAGAAAATCCTGTTTATTCTCACAGAATATTTAATGACATGTAATGTAGCTTAGAGTTGTACATCTGCGTTCCAAGCTTACCTAACCTCTCAGCAACACACAGTTTCATCTTTTGACTTGTGAAAGGTGATTTGTTTAGTTTGTTTATGTCAAACTGTAAGTTGAGTCTTTCTGCAAATTTGAAATGCATGTTGTGAAACTTCAGCACTGTAGCTATATTTAAAGTGTAGTAGAATCCTCTTCCATTTCATCTTTATTTTTCTCAAAAGTAAATATTTTATATAGTTTAGATTTTTTGCAGGACTCTTGCTTCAGGCCTGTAAAGAGTAAGTCCTAGATAAGTTATTCAAAAGAGCAAATTTGTATTCTCAGTAATATATTTCTAGGGTAATGAGCCCTATGACTGAAGTAGATCAACAGCATTCCTCAGAGTTTCCTGAGAATGTTTAACACCTGCTACCAGGAAAGCTTCTTAATGCCAAGTAGGACGAGAAAGAAAACCAGCCTGATTACCTGAAGGTTTGGTGTAGAGGCAGGGTCTGGGATGTGTGGGAGTGAGAGAGAGCATTCTGTATCTGTAAATGAAGGCATGCAGTTGTTCCTGCTTTAATCTTTGGTCTGCAGTGCTCAAACCATAACAAATCCTCCAGTTCTGAAAGCAATGGAACAATGTCAGGAAAATGATTTGTGTCCTTTCTACCTTCCTCTTCCTTGAAGCCAAATACTAATGTGTGCTGTGCGCTGTGAAGAGGAGCAACACACTGAGATCCTGCCTAAGACGAAAGGAAGTCAGGCTGTGTAAAAGAACCAAACCAGCACAAAACCTCTCTTACCCTTTGGATGTTGAAAGGTTTATATTTGCTGAAGGTACAACATAACGCGGCTGAAAGCAGTGTTCAGTGTGCAAAGCTTGTTATGATAGCTGAAAGTCTAGGGTAATTTACGTAAAATGATTCAGAGTTAGACCTATTGGACTGCAGTTGTTTCCCTGTGAGAAACTGATCCTGTTTTCCCCTATTCTTTTAGAACCAGCATTACCCAGAGTCGCAGCTCTCCCTTGTTGAACAAGCAACTCATAATCAACATGGAACCTCTGCAGCCTCTCCTTCCTTCTCCTTGTGAGGAGGAAGACATTCCATTAGATGAAGGTGAGCCGCCAAATTCCTGCCAATATTTGGTATAAAACATGTGGAATAAGGTGTGTTGCTGACTTGGGGATACAGAATAATACCTAATAATGTCATTTAGTACATCATTAAGCCTCTTCATGTCATATTCAGAAATTATTACTATTTCAAGAAACTGTGCACAAGCCTTACGGGAGAATCATCGTGAAGAAAGTTATTTCTATTATGATTTCTGTTTCAAAAATCTTCTTTTAGATTGTTAGCCAAAAGGATCTTAGTAAACAAATAACCTCAACATAACACCATTTTACTAAATAGTAACTGCAGTTACTCAGAAGTGAAAGCTGGCAGTTTACTGCTAGGTATGTTTTTTTCTTGCTTCCCTTTACTTTTGCATTTCTTTCTTTCTGTTTTAATTCTATGAAAAGCTCTCTGCTAATTTAATTCCATAGACAAAAAGGACATTATTTGGAGGTCAGCTAGGAAAGATTTTCTGCTAATTTAATCGCATTAACAAAAAGGGATGTTACTGGAAGCTCCGTTTGAGTGAATTTTGTAGAAGAAGGTTTTCCACATATTTATTTATTTATTGATATTTTAAAAATCCCATTTAACTCCTTTTTTTTTTTTTTTGAGATCCAGTCATTACAAAGGATGATGTGAATTAAAAGGAGGATAATTGCCTTCTTCCTAATAAAAAAGGAACCCCACTAAACAAAACTTGACAGAGGTTCTTGCTTGAGATGTAGTGAGCTAAGTGCTTCAGAAGTTGAGAAATGTGACTGTGCTGTTTCTTTGTTATTGCCATTTAATGGAAAACAGAAAACAGCTGAGCAAGTATCTTCATTTCTATGAGAGTATGTCCTAATTTCATTTTATAATAGTCATATGAACATGCTTTGTTCATTCTTTGGAGTTTTGACACTGAATTTAGTAAGAACGGGATGAATTAGATTGTCTGTGTGCATAGCTTGTTATAATCAGTAGTAGCAGCTGTTAACTTTAACAATTACTTGTTTACCTCTGCTGTGAAATACTTGTATCTGAGAATTCACTTTCTTGCAGCCACGTAACACCGCTGTGTTTCTGCTAGGTGGTTGCCCTCACTGCAGAGTAACAACAGCTTGCTGCTTGTACAGGTGCTGCACCTCAACAACTCTAAGCAATGAAATCCATTTTTTGAAACTGGTGATTTATGGCTAAAGGCTCAACAGACAGTGCTTGTTTTAAATGTTTGTAATATGTAAGCTGAAAATATTATTTCCGTTTAGTCAGACAGATTGTTGTTATTACTATGAGTTAATAGAAATATTTGCTCTTGGGTTTCCTGTAGAATATTTTATGTGTGGTTAAATACCTCCAGCTGCTAAGTTAACAGTATTTTGCATTTACAATCTTTTCCTGCAACAAACTTGGGTATATTATCAAATGCAGCTTGAACTGATCTCACAGCTCTCTGAGACTGATGTTGGCTCTCTCCCCAACATGTACTTAATCTGCTTCTGTGGATTCCCATCTTCTCCCTTGCACCAGCACTAATGACCCCAGAGTGAACTGGGAGAAGGAGTTTAAAAAAAGAAGTAAATTGAAACAAAATCAAAACAATAACAAAAAACCAAACTAACCCTTCCCCCTCAATAACAACAACAAAGCAAAACAGCAACACCTTAACAGTGCCCTACTACTGCCTGAGGCAACCTTTGCATGGCTCATCAGGGGGTTAGGCAAGGTCCTGTATGAGGGTACGGGCATGAGCAGGAGGTGGGGAGGGGGTAGACATCTAGCCCTGAGACTGACACAACTGCGCTGGGAGACAGCTTTTAGTCTGTTGCACATATGAAACAGCCTTGGTGTCTCTCTATATGACTGGGCCCACTGAAGCATACTTTCACATTTGTTGTTCCAAAGACAAAAGCCAGTGTTATTAGCCAAATAATTCATGCATGAAATCTGCAAAAGTATCAAGTGACTCAAAAGAAGTTTTCATCACTTTGTTGGAACCCCTTTAATATCCTGTGGCTCAAGAGGTATGGTTTTGCCTTTTCTAAAAAATACAGTCTACTCAAATATGTGAAGTCCTGATAGCATCTGGTGCTAGAAAAGACAGAAATAATGAACTACCACCCTCAAAATAATTGCCAAATGATCAGGACTGGTAGAAATTTGTCTTAAGAAGATCAGATGGTAAAAGAAGGCAGCCACAGAATCCCTATAGCAGTACTAAAGAAACATAATACGTTCAACTACACATGGAATAAGGACCATGGAGAGGACCCCCTGTACTCATCACTAGTCAGCCTGTGCTGACTGAATCCAATCCTGGGTTCAGTTCTGGGCCCTTCACTCCAAGAAAGGCATTGAAGTGCTGGAGTGTGTCCAGAGCTGGTGAAGGGTCTGGAGCACAAGTCCTCTGAAGAGTGGCTGAGCAGTCATTTGCTGAGATAAAATGAGGCTGAGGGGAAACCTTATCTCTCTCCACAACTACTTGAAAGGAGGCTGTAGCCAGATGGGGTCATCTCTTCTCCTGGGTAACAAATAATAGGCCGAGAAGAAGCAGCCTCATGTTGTACCAGGGAAGGTTTAGTTTGGATATAAGAAATTTCTTCACCATAAAGGTGATCAGGCATTAGAATGAACTGTCCAGGGACATGGTTGAATCAACATCCCTGAAGTGTTCAAAAGGTGTGTAATGTGGCATTTCGGGACACGGTTTAATTGATGTGGTAATGCTGGGTTAAGTTTATACTTGATGATCTTAAAACTCTTTTGCAGCCCTAATGATTCAATTATGGGAATGAGCACACACTACCATCAGTCTAGTTGTTTGCCTGTGTGTGTGAGTTCTCAGCTCTGTAAGCTTTGATTGTAGAGGAGAGGCATATGGAGCCTTTGTAGGTACAACTTCCTTTTTTTTTCTTTCTTTTTGTTGTTGTTGTTGTAGGCACTCTTGCTGAGAGGTAGCAGAGTCAGGGAGTTGTTGATTCAGTTGTAAGATTTCAGCATAAATCTGCCTTAGTTATGTATACATGATTTATAGAAAACAATTTAAAATCACACAGTCGTTTCTCTTTTTGCATGAGCATGGTCACATGAAACATAAACGATACATATTTATTCATCAACATCGTTATGCAAAAGCGCATTCTGACCCTTTTTTCCACTGCACTAATTTTTGAAACCTTGGATGTTTTTATGCTTCTGTGTGGTTCAGCTGTTATGCTAGCCTCTGCTAGCTGAGATGGGTGCTGTGAAAGTTTGTAAGGTACATTATGAAGCATTTGGATGTTTCAGATGTTGGAAATCTTTCACAGTCTTATCCAGATGCCACTTTTGTCCTTGTTTAGACTTTCCTATGTGGATTGAACACACTGGTGGTTAGACTTCTGTAACAATTTATGTTTTCCAGTTTTTGTAGCTGGGTACTCAACCCTTTTTAGTGAGGTTTTAATGATTCTATTTTTGTTGCTACAACAGTTATGAGAATAAAGATGAGAAAAGCAGACAGAATCTTACTTTTGAAGTGGTGATAAAATGGACATAGAAAGTGAAGGGGCACTTGATCTTTGCTGACACCCACATGAAAATGCATGCAGAGAAAGAAAGGAAGAGAGAAATGTTTGCTCTTCAGGAGTAAACAGGACCACTTCTGAGTATTTGTACTATACAGACTGGGAGAGGAAAGGAACCACCATAACAATGCTTTCTAGAAGCTCCATTGAGGCAAGTGTCTTTCACAGGAGAAATTGCTCTGTGTAAAATACATATTTGCAGGAACCCCTCCCCTCCCCCTTTTTCCCCTGCATATTTATATACATGTCATTGATTTCTTGGTGCAGAGGGAACAAGGACCTCAGGTAATGAATACTCAGCACAAACATGCTTGTGCTAATTGTATTCATTTACAAAGATGCTGTAAACATTACAGATTAATATTCTGGGAAGTAAGAGACTACCTTCCCATCGGCAGACTCCTTTATCTTCTCTCTGTGGTTTCAGTGTACCCAGAAGAACTTCTTTCCCACTAGGACAGTGTAATGTTGAGCACGTGGCTGTCTTCCAACTTCCAGTTGGAGCAAGTTATCACCAGCCAGCATATGTGCGTCATGGCTTTTTTAAGGACCTGCTTACTTCAGCTGGACAGGAACAGGGAAGTGCTCTGCCTTCTGAAGCAACTCTTCTTTCTGGTGTATGTGAATGTGTCCAGCAGTTATCCACAAGTGGGAATTTGAGCAAATATGTAAAGACAGAAATTCTTCCCTGACTTAGAATTTTTTCTTCTTCTTTATACACAGGCAGGTCGGCTTTCATTCTAGGCTTGTTACGAAAACATTTTCATCTCATTGTTTTGCCTCTTGACTAAGGTTTGTAAGCACAGCATAGGATTTTTCTTTGTATCTATACATGTTCCACAAATAATTTCCAGTCAGTGATGGGGAACTGACATCACTGGCCAAACTGAAGCTGTTTAGAAAAATAATGGGGGTACTGTCATTTATTCTGTGAAAAACAGACTGTAAATGCTGGACTCTTTTTTCCCTGCATTATGTTTTGATGCCTTAGATATTTTTATGCTTGTGTGTGTGGTTCAGCTGTTACACTAGCACCTGCTAACTAAGATGGATGCTGTGAAAGTTTGTATTGTATGTTATGAGGCATTTGGAAATGTTTAAAAATAACCTCTGGTTCTGTTCCCTGCTGGATATTTTTGTTGGCCATATTAGAAGCTTGTCATTTGATTCAGTGAGAATGACTCTCAAAACTCAGTGGAACTTTATATATAAAAGGTCAAAGCTGATATGGATAGAGCCTTTAGAAGACTTTGAGAAGCGGAAATAATAGTCAAAATGGTGAAATGTCTTGTAAAAATCCAAACCAAGAGAAGCATTCATTTGCGGATGGTTAACCACTGCAACAAGGAAGTGTGCGTTCGATTACTGCGGCATGGCTCCAAGATCACAGCCAGAAGGGCTGGTAATTTACATTTATTTTACTCAATCCCCTTTTTTTTAAGCCCCCTCCCC